GCCTTTGTGGAGCATTCCACTTTCCTACTAGGACATTAGCATTTGGCACAAAAGTGTTGCCAAATTTCGATGAGTTTTGCATTTCCACCTTTCCCATTGGGGCGTTATATTGAGGCATATGTATCTGCCTCATCATTACACCAGTACTAGGTTTTGCTCTCTCTCGAAGTTTCTTAGCTTTGTAGCTTTTCATCAGCTTCGATTCCTCAAAGGCCTTAGCAGCGACTTATCGAATACTGCACTACATTGAGGGCAAAGCATGACCTCTCTATCCACGTCCTTTTTCTTAGACAGGAATTAGACTAAACTATCTCCCTCCTTAGGATAAATAGGTTCCTCCTCTTTAGCAAAGTCATCCAGCAATTCCTTCAACTTTTCATCTGAGATAGGTTCGACGTTTTCATCTTCCTCAACATTCACTTTGACCATGTTGATCCCCATCGAGACTAGTTCTATATACCCAGTATGAGTTGCAAATGGATCAGTATCCATTTTCATATCCTTTTCCTTGAAAGCTAGACGACACTCAGTGATCGCCTTCTCGATCATGTCCTTGAAATGCACACAATTATTAGTCCAATGACTATAGATGTTATGAAATTTGCAAAACTTTTTCCCTTTTCTTTGCTCAAATGGAGGAATTTTGTGGTTTTCTGGAAGTACAATTTATTTATCTTTTAATAAAATATCGAATATTTTATCCGCCTTAGTTACATCAAAACTATATCGCCTAGTGGTACTCCCTTCAACATTGTCTCCTGGTTTTAACATTTGACATTGGTATGTAGGACCAGGACGTAATTCAGCCAAGTTTACTTCGAAATCCTCACTAAGACCTTCATAATTAACATCTTCGCTTTCTGCACTTTCTATATAAGCAATTTTATCTTTTCAAACAAACCTATCAAAATTTCTTAACTTCTCTTTTTCTAACTTAATTTGTTCGATCCTTCTCACTTTTTCTGCTAATTGGGCCATATCTCTTAATTGTTCGTTCACTAGTTTTTTACGAATCGAGAAATCTAACCCTGTTGCAGCAATTTTAACCAATTCATGTTATGTTGGTATAACATCGAGATTTTAATTGCCTGAACCTATTCAATTAGTCGTCCAATGTTTCATGATTTTGTCTCTTAATATTCATTAAGTCGACAATACTCACTTTAGTTTCTCCTCAAAAGAAATGCTCATGAAAATTCCCTTCTAATTGAGCCCAAGTGTTAATCGAATTTGGAGGTAGAGTTGTAAATCATGTAAAAGCATGTTTAGTTAGAGAACTTGGGAAGTACTTCATTTTTAAATATTCGTTGTTCCCTAAATCTCCACATTCGACTAAATATCTTGCAATATGTTCGACTGTAGACACATTCAATTCTCCTGCAAATTTCGAGAACTTTGGAGTTTTTATCCCTCTAGGCAATTCTGCTTGAGTTATATACTCAGGGAACGCAGACACGAAATAAGGGCGCTTATTTCGTTCTACCTCTAAACCATGCCTGTTCAATACCTTTTCTATAACTTGATCTAAATTTTCCTCGAGGTTCCTATGAGGTCGACCTATATTTTGAGGAAAAACTCCAATCCCACCATGATTCTCTGTTTCGTTCAAATTCACACTATTTGCCCTCGAGGGTTGATTATCTCCCATTTTATCTCCTATTTTACTTATTAACTCATATAAAGGGGTGAGTATATTATGCATCTGAGTCGATAGCAAATTAACCATGTCATGATTACTATGGTCCATCTGTTGTCGAAGGGCTATCATGGCTTGATTACTTATACTTGTGGGGACGTAACTACTTTGTCGAACTAGAGATCCCTCATGATTTGTCCCTACATGTTGATAAGGATCTTGCATGACAAATCCCATTCCATTTGGTCTGGGATTATATCCTTGTGGGGATACATGCATTTGTGAGTTTGGTCCTAAATAGGGTATTGGCATCTCGACATGTACAGGTTGAGTAGTCCGCCAATTTGGCGGCATACCCCATGGATATTCTCGAGTGGCATTCAACATTTCTTGAGACACATTCATTTGCCTCGCCACATTCTCGGGTACCATATTTGGTGGCGTTGCCCCCCTTGTCAAAACAGTTACATTTCCCCATTGATGTTTACATTTTCCTCGTGGGTATTTGAATTTCTATTTTCTGTATCTACTAGAACATCATTATTTACCTCCCTAGATGTAGACATGGTTCTTCCACTCCTAAGTCTCATAAAACATACCTAAAACTAGTTCAATTATGATTTTGAATTCAATGAGTGTCCCACCGGGCGTGCCAATTTGTTTGTGATGAAATTCGTTTATGGGTTCTTTTTATTCGAACTAGCACTAGTTTGTTTCAATTTAGGTATTTTATGTTTAAACTTAATAAAGAATGGGGACAGAAGGAGTAGAGTGACTAGTAATTACTTGTTTCTAGATTTTCATCAATAATTATCAAGCAATAATGTTCATACATGTAGATACTTAAATGAATGGAATGAACAATACATATATTAACAATACAAATCATGGTCCACTTCACATAATGATTAAATTACAATATCAGAATTACACTAACTACGAATTGAAACTAACTACACTAATCCTAGAAAAAGAAAGAAAATGTGGTCAAGAATTCGCCATACCCAGCAATTTCGTCCACGAAAGCCATATGCGCAGGCAGTGAGTGCTTGATAGTGTAAGTATGACTTTTCCGACCCCTGTACATGAGGTTGCTTCTTCTATTTATATACATAATCGAGAGCGGTTGATTTTGTGTAAATCCATCATGGGCGCATAACCGTTGTCCGCTACATCACTTACGTGGGCTAAGGTGTAACTTCTCGTAACCATTCGTCCCACGTGTTTTATTTCTTCGATTCGCTCTTTAATAACTACGTTGGTGTAACTACTCAACTGCTCGAGAAAACCTCCAGTAACCTTCTTTCTCTACTCTTTCCGAGCAGTTCTCGTTCCGAGCGATTCTCGAATATGTATGTTTATGGCTCCTGATATTCCCCTTTTGGTATAAGTACTTCTTCCAAAATATAGATTTTTCGAGTGACCCTAACACCAGTGTAAAAAAATTTTACACTGACAGTGTATAGGTGATTAACTCATATATATATATATTGTTCTTACAGTAGATCGGTCGAGAGGGACGATCTGCTAGACAAGATTGGTGAGCCTTCTTTGTTGGGTACGTCGGCTGCTCCGAAGTGGGGGTGGTACTTGCCAAGGAGACTTCGATACTAAAGTTAGTATTTGATAGTGTCATCGTCTCATATATATAGTGCATGTACCTTGATGTGAATTAGGATTTTTGTCTTATGCGAGGGCAACGTTGATTTGGGCCTGAGGTTGATCTCAGCCCGGTAGATAGTGGGCCTTTGTTCTGGCTGATGTCATGTGGCGTATATCCGATATCTTTTAGTGCTTTAGTGCCGAGTTCAAGCTCGACTTCTCGACAAGGATAGTACATATATGAAGAGAGATTCATTTACTCTAAGAGTAAGTCTACTTAGACTTACTTCATTCAATAATTCATGTTCTACATCAAATTTTAAAGATACTTCGTTACATTAATTCAAATCAATATATAAAATGTTTGATTTTCATTCATGATGACAAATAAAGAAGAAAAATAAAGAAGAAAGCATAACGTAGGAGAGCCCTTCAAGAGAAGAGCTCTAATATCATAACAAAGATGACAATCATGAGAGAAAAAAGGAGAATAAGAATGATCGATGAAGGCTCTGTTGATTATTATGAGAAAGAAGAAGATATATATACAATGTAGAAAAACAAAAATAACAAAAATGAAATAGAAAAGAGGAATAGAAAAATAAAACAAAATATATCAGAAAAATGGGAACAAATAAATAAAACAGAATGTAACAGAAAAATAAAACTATATCTGAGAGATGCCTCAGTGTAAGTAGGCCAATAATCTTCATGTCGGAGCTCTCCAAACTGTCCTTCGTATACCTTTTTGGAACTTTCTGCAATCATACCACATTTCATTTAGCCTTACTGTAAATCTCCCAGCGGGTCAAACTTTTCTAGGATGTAATCTTCATGTCAAAGCTCTCCAAACTGTCCTTCGTATACCTTTCTAGAACTTGTTGCAATCATACCACATTTCATTTAGCCTTACTGTAAATCTCCCAGTGGGTTAAGCTTTTATCGGATGTAATCTTCATGTCGGAGCTCTCCAGACTGTCCTCCGTATACCTTTCTAGAACTTGCCGCAATCATACCACATTTCATTTAGCCTTACTGTAAATCTCTTAGGGGGTCAAACTTTTCTCGGATGTAATCTTCATGTCGGAGCTCTCCAAATTGTCCTTCGTATACCTTTCTGGAACTTGCCACAATCATACCACATTTCATTTAGCCTTATTGTAAATCTCCCAGCGGGTCAAACATTTCATTTGGAGAGTTCCGACATGAAGATTATTGACCTACTTATACTGGTCCAACTTTGTGGTCAAATTCAGAACTCAAGCAAACTTTCAAGGGTCGGCCAAAGTCCAGCAGGATTAAAACAAAAATGGACATAGAGAATAACATAATCAGTTTCTGCCACCATTGATCTTTATTGTTGTATTGAATTTTAATAAATTTATTTAGATATATTTATAATGTTAATATTCAATAAATTTAAATATTTGATGTTAGTTTTTGAGTTTTGGTATTTGACAAGTGAAAATTGAAAAAAAAAATTTATTTGTAGGTCAGAACGACCCGTTCTGAAAGCAGAACGAACCATTTTGATTCCATTTTTTATGTCCTAATTTTAATTTTGGAACGACCCATTCTAATTTTTTTTTCATGTGTTATTTTTTAATCCGGAACGGCCTGTTCTAATTTTAGAACGACCTGTTCCGAAACGTGAACAGCAAATAATACTAGTTAGGAAAATAAATTTAGACAATTGCTATTTAACTAAATTTTTTTTAAATATTATTATTTGAGTAAATAACTCTCTAAAAGGATCCCAGAATTTGGCGGCAAAAAGGGTAATGAAAGACAAACTCTGTTCGGTGCTCACTTATACGATCCTTCTCCACTGATACAATCAGAAAACAGCCTTGGAAAAGAAGAAGCAATGCCCTCATCGAAACCCATATCCCCCTTCCGCCTCACCTCCCTCCTCCGCGCCCAGAAGGACCCAACCCTCGCCCTCCAACTCTTCCTCAACCCCAACCCCAACCCCACCCCCACCACGCGCCCCTTCCGCTACTCGCTCCGCTCCTACGACCTCATCATCACCAAGCTCGCCCGCGCCAGAATGTTCCCCGAGATGGAACAAGTTCTCACCC